CTCTGGCTTGATCCAGGATGGAAGGCCGTCAGCATTACCGAGCCGAGTGTCCCGATTTCCCCCTATGCTCAAGCAGTAGCATCAGAAAATGACCAGTGCCGAGGATCAGACTTTGCCGGCAGCCTTTCTCGCCGCCCGAGGAGTTAGTGTTCCCTTTCGGAGTACTGCAGAGAGTCTCTGGCTTGATCCAGGATGGAAGGCCGTCAGCATTACCGAGCCGAGTGTCCCGATTTCCCCCTATGCTCAAGCAGTAGCATCAGAAAATGACCAGTGCCGAGGATCAGACTTTGCCGGCAGCCTTTCTCGCCGCCCGAGGAGTTAGTGTTCCCTTTCGGAGTCCCTTTCGGAGTCCTCCTCGCACATCATGTCCACTGCCTCCAGCTTTCTCCTCAGCTGCTGCCACTCCTTGTGGCCGCCACCCGGGAGGGCGAGGCCTGCCCTGTACACCTCAGCCGCCTCCCGCCTCAGCCCCTTCCAGTGGAGGAGGAAGTCCCCCCAGTGTAGACAGATAACCCGCTGGCCTCGTTTGCTGAAACTTGGCAGTTCCTTCACCAGGTTATGAAAGATCTCTTGGGCATGAAGCGGGGCCCTTTCACTGTACATTCTAGCCAATGCCAGCCGGGAAATTAGACCCCGGGGATCCATTTCCACGGCCCGCTTGAAGCTCTCGATAGCGGCGGTCAGGGTCTCTTCTCTCTCCTCCGGAGCTGCGGCCTCCTGCAGCTGGTTCGCGTAGCAGACGCCGAGGTCGTGGTGCAGGAGGTAGTATCCGGGAGCCAGGGCAATTGCTTGCTGCAGGATGTCGATGGCGCGAGAGGGGGCACGCTGCTGGCACACCTTGGCGGCGTTTCTCAGGACTTCCGGGTCGAGGCTGCTGCGGACGGCTTCCTCCGCCAGTCTTTTTGTCCTCTGCCAGTCTGTCTTCTCCAGCAAACTGGCCAAATGGACTTTGACTTCATCGTTTAGGGGGCGGCGCCGGTGATATATCTCCACCAGCCTTTTCGCCTCTTTCCAGTGGTCGGCTTTCTGAGAACAAGTCCAGGCGGCAAAAAGGGAGAGCACCAAACCAGCCTGGAAGTCTTTGTTGGACTTGTCTCCTTGGAGTGCCGTTTGGAAGCACATCTTGGCCTCTTCCCCGTTTTGGGAACCCGCAGCGAGAAGAGACCAGCCTTTCTGTGCATGGATCTCAGGGATGTGCGCCGAGTACGGCTCAGGGCTGGACAGGGACTGGCAGATCTCATGAATCCGGCCCAGGTAGAGCTCCACCGTCTCGAAGTTGGCTAAGTGGTAATAAATCCAGGCATAGTTCCCGTACGTCACCAGGGCCTGGCGGGAGAAGTTGGTTGGGTGGTCTTGTTTGAGCACTGCTTCAGCTTCTCTGAGACTGCCCAGAGCCTCAACGTAATTCCCTTCCCGCTGCTGCAGGTACGCCCGCATGGCGAGGTAGACCCCGCGGTTACGGTATGCCGTGTGCTGCACCTTGGTGGCCAGTGTCTGCAGGGTGTGTCCCACATCCTCCATATCGAGAAAGCACCAAGTGAAGTGACATTGCAGGGTCTGGAGCGCCTCCTGAAAATGCCGGGACCTGCAAAGGGAAGAGAAAAAAGCATGAGCGCGCCGACGTAGCAGTACTTTGACTCCAGCGTCCCCTTTCCTTGCGGATCATGCGTGTTATCCTGTACCAGGTTCAACTGTTGGTGAACACTGAGCGCATAAGGTTCAGTGCCGCAGGAAGTGTTGGCGGCTACAAGCACAGACAGCTTCAAGAGGGGACTGGATAAACATCTGGAGCAGAGGTCCATCAGGGGCTATTCGTATCTGAGGAAGCGACCGGTGACTCACAAAAGTTCATACCCTGCCCCAAATTTTGTTACTCTTTAAGATGCCATTGGACTCTGGCTGTTTTCTATAAAGTTTGTATCTCCGCTACCTGGCATTACATTTTATGACACACGTGGCCCGGCCCAACAAGTTCTCATTTAGGTCAGATCCGGCCCTCATCACAAATGAGTTCGACACCCCTGCTCTAGGGGGTTGTTTGAAAACCCCGTAGCGTTTTCAAAAGAAGAGACGAACAGAGGAGATTTGCCATTGCTTGCCTCTGCGTGGCAGTCCTGGGCTTCCTTGGTGGTCTCCCATCCATGTACCAACCCGGACCGACCCTGCTTAACTTCCAAGATCTGACGAGGCCAGGCTAGCCGTGTTATCATGTTTCTATTTCACAGTTCTTCAGTTTGCATAATGCAGTTTATGCAGGAAACCCAAACCCGAGGGGTAAGGTTCAACTACCCTGAACTGACCCTGCCCATTTCAGGGCACGCGGCATGGCCTGAGCCTTCAGAAAGGGCGGGATACAAATCCAAATAATAAGAATAAGAATAAATAAGTAAAATGGCAGTGAGGCCAGGAAATGGCAGAGCCTTACCAACCCCACCCCTCCTTTGACCAGGCGTGATGATCAGCAATTGTCCTTTCTACATTAGACAGCCTACTTGCTGCAGTTACATAAGAACATAAGAGACGCCAATGTTGGATCAGGCCAAAGGCCCCTCCAGTCCAACACTCTGTCACACAGTGGGCAAAAATACCAGGGGCCATCAGGAGGTCCAGCAGTGAGGCCAGGGCACTAGAAGCTGAAAGTTCTGTTCAAATCCATAAAAACCACCACAAATCTGCTCTTGAGAAAAGACGGGAGGAAAACAGGGAAAACATTGAACTGCAACATCTGGTAAAAGGAACCCATAACAGCAAAAAAACCTTATAGTGGAGTGACCAGGCACCCCACACCAGGGATCTTCTGCCTGTCATACCCACGCAGAAGGAAAAACACCAGCAGGGATAGTTTTTCTCAAATGCCCTCTTCCCTACAAGAGGCACCCTCTTTTGCATCCGGCACCTTACTCTGCTAAAAGCACCTTGTAAAGAATGGAGTATCTGAGAGTCTTGCTTGGTGACACCGGACTGTCCCTCCTGTGCCGCCCAAGAGCAGAAATCAGGAGTGCGACTCCTTCTGTATCTGGACTCACCTCATTCCGCCGCCTTCTCGGTTCTTCTCCAAGGCCCTGGTCTGCAAACGGTAGCTTCGTTCCCTGGAGGCAGCTTTACCTGTTCTGTGACCTGGCTGCAAAACAGAATATACAAACCAGGATTTGGTTTGTACAGTTTCGTTACGTCATCTTCTTCTTCCAGAGGGGGAGGCCTGTTGTGCCGGGGTTTCAGAAAGTGAAAATGGATCTTGGAACTGTGACTCTTTCCTCCCGGGAACCGAGCCAGGAGACGTGCGGTAAAATACTGAGACTGACGCATCGTTGAGTCATTTCAGCTCATACCTTTACTGAGTGATTTCAGAAAGAGAGATACCGGGCTGCTTAAATGCACAACAAACGACTCCACCCAAACACACCCCTACACCCGTGATTGGCTTATATACATAATTCTACACCCTGATAGATGGTTAGACAGTGTCACAGATGCAACGAACATGAAATTGAGCAAACTTCAGAGGACGGCGGAAGACCGGAAGGCCTGGCGTGATCTGGTCCATGGGGTCGCAAAGAGTCGGACTCGACTGTGCGACTGAACAACAACAACAACACCTGATAGGGTTCCTCTAGGATCCTGGTCAGCCGATAGGCTGCTCTTAGGATCCTCTGTGCCCATTGTTCCGGGGATCGAAGCTCTGGCTATTTGGCTGACCGCGTGTGCAGAGCAACCACATGCGCGGTCTCTGCGGGAACATCATGGGTTGGTGCCGTGTCATTGCGTGGTATGAACGGTGCAACGCTGGGCTTTGAGCTGGAGTTCCCAGGGCTGGGCTCACGGTTTCTTGCGGAGTGGTCGGGGTGTTGAGCATGGCGGGCGCACTGCTCGGATCCGGTGTAGGGTCCTGTGCTGAGCGGTGTGCCCGTGGGCGTCGGCTGTGGAGCGGGCCTTTCCTGCTCTTTGAGTCCGGCTTCCTCGACGTCGCAGTCCTCCGATGTCTCGGGAACAGGCTTGAGGCTGCGGCACCACAGTTGATCTATATGCCTTTTGTAATGTATCCAGTCCAGACAAGTCCAGACCAGTCCAGAGACTAACGTCGAGCTTCGCTCCAAGAGACAATGGACTATGCGGATCCTAGCCCGCTCCAATCAGGGGGCTAGGTTTCCGGCCGAGAGTCAATAACCTATTGGGAAGTGGGGTGTGTGTGTGTTTTGGGTGGCGGTTTCTCGGGGGATATAAGCCGGCCTGCGAGCCGGCCAAAGTCGTCTTGTTCCTGATCGAATAAATTACGCTTTGCTGAAATCACTCTCCGT